TGTCAGCACAAAGCCCAACGCTGGGCTGGAACTCACAGACTGCGAGATCATGACCTGAGCTGAAGTCGCTCAACCGACTCAGCCACCCAGGCACCCCAAGTGAATTTAGTCCTTAAGATCTTTTCTCTGAGTCTTAAGTTTTTGGAGAGTTTATAATTTTAACCAGTTCTTAATGATCCACAAGTATTATTAATAGTAACCGTAATTACTGAAATTTGTTTAGAAATGTACAAGTTTGAATGATTTAAAAAAAATTTTTTTTTAACGTTTATTCATCTTTGAGAGAGAGAGACAGAGCATGAGCGGGGAAGTGGCAGAGAAATGGGGACACAGAATCCGAAGCAGGCTCCAGGCTCCTAGGTGCCAGCACAGAGCCCGACACGGGCCTCGAACTCACGAACTGTGAGATCATAACCTGAGCCAAAGTCGGATGCTCAATTGACTGAGCCACCCAGGTGCCCCTTGAATGATTTTTTTTTATGAATCATTTATCCTGACAAAAATACTTTAAGGACAATAAAACAAACATTATTATTGAAGGATACAAAAATAGTCATGATTTTCATAGTCATGGCTCTAGAATCTCAAATCAGACCTTTGACATCCAAGTCTTATGCTTTTGCCACCACACAAGGCTGCCTCCCTGTCTTGCATATAACGTACAAGGACATTGCTAAGAAAAACACGTTTATTCAAGTTGGCAGACTATTTATATGGGTCTTGTGAGCCAGTCTTCCCTTTCTAGACCCTTTAGCGTAAGAAGAGCAAGAATAACTTCCTGGTTCACTGTGTACAATTTATGCTTATCAGATGGTTTTCTACTTTTTTTTATCATCAATAAATGGGTGTAATTTTAAAAATTAAAATTTCCAACTATATATAACAATATTTTTTAATATACACGAAATCATTATAAAGATTTCACAATCTTTTTCATAGACTAATCTCTAGCTTGCTTTCCAAGTTCGAACCAAATGTATTCCCTCCATCCCTGAGATAAGGAATCTTACAGTGAACTTTGCCTACTAATTCTCTGAAAGTAATGGCCCAACATAGTGTAAATAATCAGATAGTCTGTTCTTCTGTAAAAGCTTGGATGTATTCTAGTCGTTAATTGCCACATCCCCAATTCCACATCCTATGGTTCCCTCTTCCCTGTATTATCTAAGAGATTAAAAATTAACATTTGGTAACCATTGTAAAAATTTTTTTCCCACTCACTCAAACACACTATTTATTTTGTTAAGGTCAAGCAGGATGATCTGTTGAGAGGTTAGTGGGAAGTGTCCAGCATGAAATATATATGCATTTTCCACAGTGGACTACAGGACAAAAGCCACAGGCAATACCCCTGACTGAAATTTCGCTCTATAGAGCTAAGCTATGACAAAGGGGGGGGGGGGGGGAGAATCAGCCACCATCTAAGAATGCCAAGGGCAAAATATTAGCACCAGATTGTTGTTGTATGTGGTAATATAGCTATGTTATGCACAAAGTTATGGACATTGACTCACTGGAATCTTTGGTTCCCCACTAACCAGTCATTTAACAGGCAAACAGGGGAATGCACAGGATAGTAGTGATTACATGTGCTTTGCTGAAAGGATAAAGGGCACTATATGTTGCTATATATAAAAGAAAGTCCTCAAAAGACCTCAAAAGACTAGATACAGACACAAACATTCTATTATTCATATTTTACATATTTACCATGGAAATGATCACAATACTGTATTTGAGGGGAAAGAAACTTAACCAGAGATGTGAAAGACCTATACTGTGAAACTATAAAAGAGCAATGAAAAAAATTTCAAGACAT